CGGTTCGAATCCCTAGCGCCCCGTATAGAGTGAGCTCCCGTGACTTGTCCCAGCTTCTGCCAACCTAGCAGTTCGAAAGCATGTAAAAATGTAAGCAGAAAAATAGGGACCACCTTTGGTGGGAAGGCAACAGCATTCCATGCCTCTTCGGTGTTTAGTCATGCCGGCCACATGACCACGGAGACGTCTTCGGACAGCGCTGGCTCTTCGGCTTTGAAACGGAGATGAGCACCGCCCCCTAGAGTTGGGAACGGCTAGCCCACGTGTGTGCGGGGAACCTTTACCGTTATAATAGTACAGGATCTCCTGCTTGAGCAAGAGGGTTGGTCTAGATTGCCGGGCTCTGCAACCCTGCTTCAGCACCGATCTGCAGCATGCCAGAAACCAGACCCACGCAAAGAAGCGAAGACCCATCCACGGGACGCAGGCCACGTTCCCATAGAAAAACTCCTCTCCGCGGAAACCGGCTCTGGTGTCCGAAATTATGGGGACCACTGGACTACAAGACCTCTAAGGTCCTTCGAACTCTGCTACGCTTTTATTCTCTTAAAACACTTTAACCCTCTTTTTTCCCCTTCCAGAGAGGGGGCAGCAAATGGGGAGGGGGGGGCTGCAGCCAATGGAAAGGGGAGAAAGGCTGATTTGGCGAGGGGCCAAGCCCGCTCAACGGATACAAACAGCTGGCTGGACCGTAAAGGGTGTTGACTTGCGAGCTAAGTGAAAACAGATGTTGGCAGCCAGCCTTTAACAACATCTGCTTGTCCCGGGGCCAAGAATTCAGGGTGGTGGGGGGGGCTGAGTGTGTGTGTGTGTGCGTGGTGGGGGGGGGGAACCAGCCAGCACACTCTGCCAGGGCACACCCGCCCGTCACTTCTCTCTCTCCCTCTCTCTTGCTCCGCGCCCCCGGCCAGAATTGGGGGAGAGACGTGTTAAGAAGGGGTGCCAGAGACGGCGCCAAGCGCTTGTCAAGGGGTGAGTGATGGGAGCTTTCTTTCTGGGGTAGGTCTGGGGGGGCTGGGAAAAGGGGCTGAGAGGGGGGATAGAGGAACAGGCCAGGCCTGGGAGAAGGAGCAGGGGAGGGGAGGAAGGAAAGTTGGGCATAAGTGACACGAAAAGGGGTGCCATTTTTCGAAAGCAGCGCAATGTTGCTCCAAAGGGAGTTTGCTCCATCCCGTGGGGGGGGGGTGTTCCAGGCCCCGAAAAAAATCTAGGGGTGCCCCTGCTCAATTCAAGGGAGGGGGGGTTGTTTGCACCAGAGAGAGTTAAGCGATTTTATTTCCGGTGCCCCTTAATTTTGTGCCCAGCCGTTTCTAAGCCATGATCTTTGCCAATCTTGGTTTGTTCTGCTCCTCAAACACTCCAGCTCAGTCAACGGAGAACTGACCTGGTTTCCCCCAAGGCTCTCTTAAAGTTTTTTTTTNGGCAGCTCTCCAAGCCAGATGAGGTCTGTGACCATAAATCCTCCCTTGAAAGACTTTGCTGGATGTGAATGAGCAGAATTCACAGTCAATTAATAGAAGGGGTTTTTTTCGGGACAACAAGGAGTTTGTTTCATGCTCTTGAGAGGCCTAGGTCAGAACACAGAGTTTGAATCCTGACACACACCTCCTTTTGTTCCCACAACCTCCTTGTTAGGTAATAGAGAAAAAAAACTGAGCAGGATCTGAATTGTTCTCCAAAATCATTATAAATCGGGAAGTGTTTGTGAGCTGTTATTTACTGGCTGGCCACATGGAGGAGCCATTGTGCCTTTTTGGGGGGAGGGGGAAACACCAGTTAAACTACAAAATGTGGATTTTGTAGAAAAAAAATTTTTTTAAAGGATTAAAAGGGTTTTCAAGGTGTAATGTGTCAAGATGAGTGGACTTCAACTCCCAGAATTCCCCCAGCCAGCAACGCTTCATCCAACTTAACATTTCTTGACCCTTCAATTTAAAGCAGTGTTTCCCAACGGCAGCCATTTTGAGATGTTGCTGGCTGGGGAATTCTGGGAACTGAAGTCCACACATCTCAAAAATGGCTGCTGTTGGGAAACGCTGCCTTGTGATTGCTGTGATTGGCAAGCTGAGTGTTGGAAGCCCACAGATCTTTTTAAATTGCTACGGTTGGGGAATACTGTCCCTTGTTGACGTTTTACTTTATTTCATGTCTTTATTTTATAGGTTGTTTTATTTTTATTTGACTTTACTTTCTGTTGTTTGATTATTTTAATCAAATTTATATAGCCGCCTATCTCTCTTGCAGAATCTCAGTCGGGCTTTGATCAACATCGCCTCGAAGCTCACCCACAGCAAAGACGTGCGGGATTTTTTCATTGATCTAGTGGAAAAGGTAGTGTGAGCCATTTCCCGGCCCTGGCAATGTGGGTTTTCAGCTGCCTAACATTTAGACTTTTTAAAACTACAGCTCCCAAAATTCCCCAGCCAGCAGGGTTTAAAATCAAAGACTTCAACTCCCAGAATTTCCCAGCCAGCTTGCTTTAAGATGGGTGGACTTCAACTCCCAAAATTCCCCAGCCAGCATACTTTAAAATCAAATTCAACTCCTAGAATTCCCCAGGCAGCTTGATTTAAGATGGGTGAACTCCAACTCCCAGGATTCCCCAGCCAGCGTGCTTTAAGATGGATGGACTTCAACTCCCAGAATTCCCCAGCTAGCATGCTTTAAGATGGATGGACTTCAACTCCCAGAATTCCCCAGCTAACAGGTTTTAAGATGGGAGAACTTCAACTCCCAGAATTCCCCAGCCAGCGTGCTTTAAGATGGGTGAACTCCAACTCCCAGAATTCCCAAGCCAGCATGCTTTAAGATGGGTGGGCTTCAACTCCCAGAATTCCCCAGCCAGCGTGCTTTAAGATGGGTGAACTCCAACTCCCAGAATTCCCAAGCCAGCATGCTTTAAGATGGGTGGGCTTCAACTCCCAGAATTCCCCAGCCAGCGTGCTTTAAGATGGGTGAACTCCAACTCCCAGAATTCCCAAGCCAGCATGCTTTAAGATGG